GGTGCTGTTTTATTTTGGCGTAAAATATGTAATTTAAGGATCATCCCGAAAGTACGTCCGTCATTTGCTGGTTACGAACCTCTCAGGTTCAGCCAGTGTGCAAGCTGTAATAGCGCCTGGTAGGTAGGCAACATCCTGCCTGCAGCGCATGCGTGTATTGCGGGGTGGCCTACCCTGATTCTCGCAGGCGCCGAGCTCTCCTGTAAATTGCCGAATGAATATGCGAAAAGCGGCCGTACTCTATGGGCTGTCGCTTCTAAATTGTTATTGTCGGTTGTTTGGCTTGTATTTTAAAACCCAATGTTTTGCCTCGCCACCGCAGAGAACGTGGACCTCATGTGGGAGATGTGCCGGTACGACAAGGCGTGGAAGTACGTCTCCCTCTCGCCCTGGTGCTCTGCTTTCACGGAGGATGATCTCAAGGTACGATGGGGCCACGCCCACCGCCACGCCCCCGCCCCGCCCCGCCACCGGAGGTGAAAACTGTGCAATCATCATGGCCATCTCGCTAGCAGATAGAGGGCAAGAGGGGCCATACCGCGCCGGCTCAAATAGTGAAGCAAAGTGGAAGTTATAACACGCCGAGTGCGACAACACGTGCCCAAAGAGCGTTACACTCGTAAAAGCCAGTGTCGCCTTCCTTCATAGAGCGGGTTTTAAGGCAACATCATGTTTACTGAAGTTTTTTTTTACTTTTCCGGCTGGAGTAAAACGATTTAATGGGTGTGCCCCTCCTTGTGAAAGTACCACCGACATTCGGTCAAGTTGGTAAATTGTTGGTTTGGGCGTGTGGGGGTGCACCCTGTAAATGGTATCCTTGAAACAAGGCGAAATGCGTTGTTTCAACGCTATTTTTACCTTAAAAAATAACAAGTAAAATTGTATTTAATGAAAGGCAAATGCCGTTAAAATAAAGTTAAAATTTCCTTAGATTAACTTTAATGTCTTGGTTTGAGGATACCATTTTCTAGGGGTTGGGGGTGGGGTAGGGGCTTCGCCCGGAGATAAGCCCAGTCCAGCCCGGCGTGTCCACGTGGCGCCGGCCAGCGCGAGCACGTGCCGCATCGATCGGATCAGGAACTGCCGCCCCGCAGGGAGCGCGCCGCCCCCCGTCACTTGGGCTGTCTCGGAAGGAAAAAAGGATGAGCGGCGCGAAGCTTTGTCCAAGGACTGAGGGAGGGAAAGAGAGAGACATCCACTACCACTCTATCATTGGCGCCTGTCAGCGCCTCGCTTCTCCGGTTGCGGTTCGAATTTTCCTTATTTATTTCCGATGCTACAAGGTCTTTGAGGGAATAGGGTCAGGGCGTCGAAGGCTTACACTTGTCTCCTCCTCAAAAATGAGTGCAAATAAAACAATGGAACAACCCTTAAATTTTGCCCCCTGTTTCCAGGTGATGGAGTACCGAGCGGATCTGCAGTACTACTACTCGTATTCGTACGGTAACCAGCTCAACGTTAAACTGGGTTGCCCACCCGTCAAGGATATGATGGACCACTTTACGTAAGTTATCCAAGTTATTCATTCGATAACTGCCCACGAAAAAATTACTACGCCCAGAGTCACGGCGCGTGGCGCGTTGGTCTAAATATTTTCGTTGCTGAGGAGTATAGTGGTGTTCTCCTAACTACCATGACCCTCCCTAAGTGTGTTAAGTGTCCGAAAGTACACCTTTTCCTACGCTGTTGCCCTTACCCTTTGTCCACTGCGTCGCGCTCGCGACCCGGCGGCGCGCTTCACATTCACATGCAGCCCCCTTCGATGTGCGTGTTGCATGCCAGAAAGACACCCCCCCCCCTTCTCCTTCCACTTTCCCTTCAGCAAAACACGAACGAGAGGGGTGGGCATTTGACGTCCATGCAGTCGGAATTATTTCATATACCGCGCGGTATCATTTCGGAACCGATCGCATCGATAGCATCACGAGAGTTAAAAGCTGGGGTCCATATTTTCTTTGCGCGCTGCATGACTGCAGCATGTAGTACAACCGAGTACTACACACCGTCTTCGGGCGGGATGCGTGATGGCCTTCCCCTCCAGTCGCAAGTGCTGCGCTCTGCGCTGTGGGGACGTCTGACCCCAGTGCCTCTGCGTACGAGGAAGTTGTAAGCACGCCGCCCCTCCATCCCAAGCCTCCGCCGCCACCCCCCCC